GTGTTCGCCGAGCGCCGGGGCCCCGCCCACCGCGGGAAGGCCCCGCCCCTTACGAGAGGGGCCAATCGGAGCAAGGGACGGAGGGGGCGGGCCCTCGTCGCCTCGCAACCTGCGGGGCGGGTCTGGCCACCTGTCCGCAGCTCCACCCCGCCCCGCTGGAAGGCTTGCGAAACCGCCCTAAGTGGGATGTTGTTTTGTTTGACGGATGGAAAAATGGAGGCGTAGAGAAATTAAGCAACTTGCCTAAGTCATCCTACTGGGAAAGGACCAGCCTCTTCACACCCACACGCGCGCGCACACGCACACGCACACCTTCACCTTTGGATAGGGGTATCTGGCCACGCAGAGCCAGTGCTGCAATTTCTCTACACGCTCCCTTTTCTGTTTACTTCACTGTCCGCACCAAGGAGCAGCAAGAGACCCTACGGTAATGGACGGAGCCCCAAAGTTTAGGACTTATAAAGTACACCTGGCTCAGGACTCTCGCAGACAGGGGCGCTGAGGGCTTGTTAGTCTACAGTGTTCCACGCACGAACTTGAACTCATCGAAACCGTTTTCCGAACTGTTAGGTCGTCAGACTTGGGGTTAGGGGTTTCGTAGATTTGCTGCCCTCAGTGACCTTCGTCACCCCAGCTGAGCAGCATTTCCTAGAAGGGTCCCTTCCCTTCCCTCAGGTGTGCCTCCTCACTCTCGTAGGCTGGGGACAGGTAAACAAGCTCTTACCACCTGACCTACATTCTTGTAAGTGTAAGCTTTGGTCACATGTCCTCAGAGTGTGTCCTAATCTTTTCCGTCTGGCTTCAAATCCCCACCTTAGTCATTCTCATGAATGTGGCATGGCGGTGTTGGCACAGGAGTTTGTCATCCTGTAGATCTGGCTCTGGCGACACCTGGCCCTCAATCACTCCTTCATCCAGAGGTGAAGTCATTCCATTCAGCAGCTGGCGCCAGGCATGTGAGCAGATGTGGGCAACTGATGTGTGAGCCAAAGTCTCTACTTTCTGTCTCAAACTCAGCTGTCTACATTCAGCCAAGATTCTCCTGCTGCTCAGTCAGAAATTGCGTGTGGAAAGAAGACCATTCACTCTGAATAGGTCCCTCGACAAGTGGCCAAAGGATGTCACACATAAGGCTTTCCCATTCAGACAAGTGAACAATCCTTCCTCCAAGCTGGTGTTCTTTTCAACAGCTGGATTCGGAAGCGCTTCCGGCTAGATGGAAAATTAAGTGGGAGAAACTTAAGAAGAAGAAAATCAGGTTTACCGTTTTCAAAACAAATACTTGATCCAAACAGTCTGAGTGCCTGGCAACGACATAGAGTCCATCCCACGCCTGCTAAGGAAAGATCCCATCCATAATTTCCAGCTAGTGTCCCGGCCTCGGCCCTGCCACCGTCAAGTCACGTGGCCGTGGAAATTCTGTCTCACCTTCTGGGGCCTCGGTTTTCTCATCTAAACAGAGGAGTTGGATTGCATGATATCTGACAGCTCTCTGACCCCATATTCTTCATTTCTATTAACATGCAAAATATAGGCCTTTTGGAAGATTCAGAATGTGAATGATTTTTTTGCAAGAGGATGAAAAACTTTTTTTGTTGTTTGTTGCTGTAGCACTTATTGCTAGTATACAAATCGCAACCGGCCTATTGTCACAATGCCACCACACCACGTGCTGAGGGCTTGGTCTCATGCATCAGAGTGTGACAGTGTGGCCTACAAACCCTCCAGTTTGAAGCACCCACCTCAGGGTCTGTGTTGGCACTGGCTGTTCCCTATGCCCCAAACGCTCGTCCCTCAGCTACGGCATGGCCACCTCGCTCTCATCCAATCTCCACTCAGGTGTCACTCCTCAGAGGTGCTTCCTGGACCACTCTTTCTAAGAGGCCTTCCTCGGTGACTCTCCATGGACAACCCTGCCTGTGTCTGTCACAGCACTCATCATTACTGCCCGGCGGGCCTGCGGGGATTTAGGATCAGTTCAGACTGTTCAAATATAGACAGAAAGTCTGGATGAGAAGCAGCAGGGCCTGGATGGCTAATCCAGGCACTCCTGGCTAAGGAGTGTCCCCAATTCTCCAATGAGGAGGGTTTGCTCATTGAGAGCCAAAGCACCCCATTGTTCATCTTGAGTGCCCTTATTCAGTCGTCACTTCTTATTGCTGATTTTATAAGGCTCTTGTGCAAAGAATTTCATTAGCTATTTATTAAGTCAGGCAGTCATTTGATAAATATTTATCGAGTGCCTACTCTATGCATTGGGGATCTGGAACAGACGTGGACAAGACAGACAGCATTCCAGCTCTCCCAGAGCTTCCGTTCTGGTGGGGGCGAGAATTAACAAGTAACTAACTAACTAAGTAATATTACACTGTGTGATGTGAGGGGGGGGGCAGAGCAAACGGGGGCACATCGACTAGGCCTGGTATCGTTACTACACCCCACTGGCCACTATCTCCCCTTTCTGCTCGAACCCCTCTGCCGGAGACCACCCCAGACACCCCTGCCCTTGCAAAGGTATATTACTTCTTTTGCTGACCCCTTCAGATGCATCTGTGGGGGGCCACTGTGGCAGACCCCTAACCCTGGCTGGGGGTTTCTGCCACCTTCTGTGACACTGGGGCCCCACATGCTGTGGTAGAGTTGGAAATCTTGCTGTAACGATGCTGGAGGCCAACAGCCAATGTCTGCGCAGATACGCTCGGAAGGACGGCTGGTGCCCGGCACCAACGGTCCCAGCGTGTGTACTCCGTCTGGGACCAGGACAATCGCTGGCTGGCGACCGCATGCCAAGTCCTTGGTCATGTCTTCGTGACACGCAGGGGAGATTTGTCAGGTCTCAGCGTCGGGAAGCACAGCGCTTCCGAAAACAACTGGTTCGTTGTCACCGAACGAAAACGATAAATGCAATTGAATAATTATCTTTGTCTCTTTGCCTTGGTTTCTGAGAGATTTTCCAGTGAAATATCACGTGACCTGCTTAGAGCAAAGGCACAGGGCCTTTTTTTTATTGCGGATGGGTTCGTTCCTTCATCATACCCCCCAGACGTATATTGTGTCGTTTTCATTGGGTGTTTTAATAAACGATTGCAAATCCTTTGTGGAAAGAGCGGGAATGGATGCGTGGAGGCCAACGCGGACCTTCGGATTCTCCAGGTGACCTGAGTGTCTCTCTCTTTGCCTCCCCTCCCCCCTCCCCAATGCGCACTCGAAAGAGAAGAGGTCAGTTTCAAAATCCCATAAGAAAGAGAAATAAAAGCACTATGCTTTATAAGTAGATGCAACTATTTCTCAGAGCAGATAGGGAGAGTGGAGAGGGGAAGAGAGAAAAGCAAATGGAGGGAAACTAAGAAAAAGAGAAAAGAAATGGAAAACGAAGTATAAAGGGAGAAAGGAAACAGGTGATTCTCGGAATGAAACAACACAAGGTTTGGATTTTCCAGGCCGGTGTGTGACGTCAGACCCGTGACAATACCCCTCAGCCAGGGAGCATTTCCAAGTGTCTTCCCTCCCTGCTCCTCTGCTGCTTTGAGCACTCGGGAATTGTCCTCTGGGTGGAGTTCTGCGAGTGTAGCCACTTTTCCATCATTTCTCCCCAGCCTCTTCAAAGACACAGGAAGGAAAAACGAAACCACAAGAACTAAAGTGTTGCGGGAGTTCAAGGTTCAAAGCGGGTCCTTGTCCGGGGCTGGGCTGCGTGTCTGAGTCCTGACACACGGGGGCGCCATTTCTGCGGTCCACCGTCAGGGCCCAGACCTTCGCGCTTAAAACCACGTCTGGGGAACTGGACGCACGAAGAGGAATGGGGTTCGATTCGCTACGTGTTCCAGGCCCGCCGCTTTTCTGGAGTGGGTGGGACATGTGCTGACGGGCCAAAGGAGCAAGGCCATGGGTGTCAGAGCCTGCCAGCTGGCCTCCTGGCCTCGGGCTGCGGCTGGGCACAACCTCCTTGAGATCAGGCTGACTGTCTCATTTATCTACGCGGGGCAGAATTAGCGAATCCACACGACGGCGTTAGAGCCTGACCTTGGATCTGAGATGTATGACCTGGAGCGAGCTCCTTAAACTTGGTCTAAGATGGAAGTCTAAAGACGGAGTGATGGTCCGGCTAAAGCGTCTAACACAGCACGCGCCATAGTAGGGACGGACTCAACACTCTGTGTCACTTGGCAGTGCTGCCATCTACTGGTGTCGAAGTGACTGAATGAACCGGCCGTGTAGAATGCAAGAGGTTTTACTAGACTCAGGACACTGACAGGCTCAAGCTGTTTCGTGGGGTGTCGGCCAGCTGAGCCCCCTCAGGGCAGAGCAGCCAGTCTGTCTGGGATAGCTGCTCCACGCCACAGCTGTCAGTCACGCTCCTCAGACAGGCGAGAAGGCAGAGGTCAGAGCAAAGGGGGTACGCCCAAGGCTCCAGGGCTGAGGAGCCCCCCGCCCCCGGTCTCCTGAGTGCTGGCATGAAGCTTGACCCTCGGGGACCCACACAAGGGGCTGGGAGCCAATGGGTGGGAGGAGAGGGATTTTAGCAGATGGATCCCAGAAAATAAATAGGCTCTTGGTTGGGTTCGACAAGGCTTGTGAGGGGCACCCTGCCCAGCAGTGACACCCCCCCCAACCCAGTGTGGAGAGCCAGAACCAGAACCACCAAAGAGCCTCTCGCCCGCCCGGGGCCGCCGTGGTTGGCCTCTGTTCCGAGGGGGTCTGCAGGGAGAGCTCTCACTTCCCCAAATACGCCTCTTCCGGTGTCACAAGGAGCCTTGGGTCACCTCCTTCCTTTGTGCAATGTCATCAAAAGCACAGTTTCTGCCTCTGCTCCTTGTCTTTCCTGTCCCCACTCGCTTTGCCTTTTCTGGGACCCAGTTCCCAGGACGCGGCCGTGCTCCGGCCCTGGCTGGCGTTCTGGCTGCAGCTCCCCCTGGCTTCCTGACCTGAGCAGAAACAGAAGCCCCCCCACCCCCTGCCCCCCGCCTGCAGCCACTCTCTCTCCCTCCGCAGCACGGGCCGTCTTGGGGTGCCCGCCCTCTGCTTCCATTTGCCAGCAGGAAGCAATAAAAGGCACTTTTCCACGTGCCTGCTGGAACCACACTCTCCAAGTTCTAAAGCAGGACTCATTACCCAAGAGGGACACGTGCCTCTCTAAGGACTTTCGGACAAAAGGCCTGAAACCGGACCGTGCCGGGAAGGACGGGTGCCAGACGCACTCCTCACGGGACAGTCTCCCCTCTGGGGAATGCCTGCCGCCAGTGCCACCCGCGTTTGCCCCAGATTCGTGGCTGGGAACGTGGCTCGGACACCAACCACAGGTCATCGGTCACCTCCTGCCCAGGTTCCTCCAGGAAGCCAGGTGCGAGCCGTCGTTATCTAGGACACCTCCTTCTCTGACCTCATGCTCTCACCGCAGAGAGACCCTTGCAATGCAGCTATGAGCCTTTTAAAAATATCAATCCGACGGCTTAAGATTATCTAGTAAATACTATGACGACCTGTTTCCCATGTCGGGCCCTGTGCTGTGTGCCGCCAGAGATAACCTGATGAAAAGCGCCCCTCACTCTGACACTTCTAAGTCCCTGCTGTGGGCGTCCAGTCATGCTAGTGCTCAGGAGAGGATCCAGAGACCTGGAACACACGGCGTCTACCCTTTCCCGCTCAGCTATAATAAAAATAATCGCGGCACCATGGAGAGCCAGACTTGGTGTCAGAGGTCTTGGGTTCAAATCGTGCCTCGTCCCCTTGATGGTACTGAGCAAGCTCGTCTTTCAACTTCTCGCTCCTCAGTCTATCCGTAAGGAGGTCATAATAGCTGCCGAGGAGGGGTAAACGCTGGCGGTCGTTTATGTGCCTGATACATAATAGATGCCGAGATTTCCTTCCTTCCTTCCTTCCTTCCTTCCTTAAGGAGCTTAGAGGCTGATCGTTAGGAACAGTTTCTGCTG